GCCAAGGTTTCCCTCCCTCCCTATTGTGACTTTGGGGACATCATTGCCAGGGAGCTCTGCTGGGAGAGCTCAGCCAGGGTTGATTCCCCACTCTGTGGAGCTGCTTCTGAGCTGAGGCTCTAGTGTATCTGAGGGCAAAGCTTGTTACTTTCTCATGAGGTAATGGGCACCATGGACAAGAAAAAAGCAAGGCGTGTGTAGCTAGATGTATAGATAGAGTTTAGCAAGACTTTGTCAGCCTCTCTCATACTTCCTTTATGACCAAATTGGAGGTGAATGGGCTCAGTAAGAGACTGATCAGGTGGCTGAAAATTGGCTGGACCAGCAGGCACAAAGAGTAGTGACCAGTGGTGCAGAGCCCACCTGGCAGATACATACGAGCAGGGTCTTTCAGGGATTGGCAGTAGGACCAACACTCCAATGTTTTCATGAACACCATGAGCAGTGAGAAGGTTGGTACTTCCTGTAGGTTTGGGGATGACACCCAAGCACAGTGAAAAGGTGAGACGCTGATCTATGTTAGCCAAATTGTTCCCTGCAAGTCCAGGAACTTCCTGTTCAAAAGCAACAGAGAAGGTGGCCAAGACTCTGGAAGTGCTCTGGGACAGGAGCAGAGGCAAGTAAGAGGTGCTGGAACATGGGGAGTTCTAGTTCAGGCACAGGCTAAAAGAAATAATGGGAAAAAGAATGTGTTTTCTAGCAAGGTTGTGCAGTCTCCAGTGAGGTGTTCAAGGCTGAAGCTGAAGCAAACATGGATCTGGGCAATCTAATCCAATGGGAGCTGTACCAAGCAGCAGGAAGATCTAGATGACACCTGGAAATGCCTTCTCACCCATAACCTCTTTTGGTACCAGCCTGCTTGCATGTTCACCTGATCTTTCATGCAACCTCTTTTTCCCCTGTGTAATCAGCAGTTCTTACTGCACGGAATATAGCCCTCTCCTTCAGTGTGATAAACCCTCTCCCCGTGTAACCTTCCTCTCTTCATCTACCCAGCAGCCTAGCCACCCATCTTTTAACCCATCTCTCCATGCATCACTTCCTGTAGGTTTGGGGATGACACCCAAGCACAGTGAAAAGGTGAGACGCTGATCTATGTTAGCCAAATTGTTCCCTGCAAGTCCAGGAACTTCCTGTTCAAAAGCAACAGAGAAGGTGGCCAAGACTCTGGAAGTGCTCTGGGACAGGAGCAGAGGCAAGTAAGAGGTGCTGGAACATGGGGAGTTCTAGTTCAGGCACAGGCTAAAAGAAATAATGGGAAAAAGAATGTGTTTTCTAGCAAGGTTGTGCAGTCTCCAGTGAGGTGTTCAAGGCTGAAGCTGAAGCAAACATGGATCTGGGCAATCTAATCCAATGGGAGCTGTACCAAGCAGCAGGAAGATCTAGATGACACCTGGAAATGCCTTCTCACCCATATCCTGACTCTGTGACACCAATCATCCCCTTCATGATTCTCCCTGACCCATGCCCATCCATGGGCACAAGTGTCCTCGCACTCCCTCTGCCACAACACAGCTTTGGGGCATTGTGCTGGGAGTGCAGAGCGGCAGCTGAAGGGAGGCTCTCAGCCTCCTCACTCCCAGCCGCAGGAAAGCCGTGGCTGCTGGTTCCAGCCCCTGAGCTGGGAGACAGCTCGGGGAAGCCGGTGCATGGCCTGGGCCAAGGCCCTGCTGCTGTGCCAGGCTGCAGGTGGCGCTGTGCCGGCTTCTTCCGGCTGGAGGAGGCCGGGCAGAGTCCCTTTGGCCGTTGCCGCAAGTGGTGCCGGTGCGGAGCCCCTGAGCACTCTCAGCCCGGGCGAGCCCCCGAGCGGCGCCGGCGCAGGGCTGAGCCCCGGGGCGGAGCTGGCGGCGGCGGAGAGGAGAGGAGGCGTCGGAGAGGAGGCGCGGCGGGCGGAGCAGAGAGCCGGGGCTGGCGGGGGGCAGCGAGGCGCGGGCGGCGGAGCGGCGGGATGCGGCGGGGCCGGGGCGCAGGGCTGGCGGGGCTGGCCGCGCTGCTCCTGGGTGCGTGGGGCTGGCGGCGGTGGATGGGGGCCGGGGCTGTGCCACCTCTTTTGGTACCAGCCTGCTTGCATGTTCACCTGATCTTTCATGCAACCTCTTTTTCCCCTGTGTAATCAGCAGTTCTTACTGCACGGAATATAGCCCTCTCCTTCAGTGTGATAAACCCTCTCCCCGTGTAACCTTCCTCTCTTCATCTACCCAGCAGCCTAGCCACCCATCTTTTAACCCATCTCTCCATGCATCTACCATCCTTCAACTGTCTTCCTACTCCCTGAGACCCCTCTCTCATCGCTCCTTCTGCTTATTAGGGATCTGTAGGCACAAATCTGTTTTCTTGCACAATGTATTCCAAACATCCACGTACCTCTCTCTGCATTCAGCATTTTCTTGCTCTGAATTCAGCCCTTCATCCTTCACTGTAACATCCTCAGTTCTTCTGTCCCCTCTCCTTCTCATCCTTCATCCATCCATACAATTGGCTTTCATTCTCTTTCTCCATGAATCAATTTCAGATGCCCTCCCAGACTTTTTCCCTCACTTATCATACCCACACCAGGATCATCGCTGTTGTCCCCATCTACTGCAACTGATACTCTTGGCCTCTTGGCCCTTCTTCTGAACAATTTCCAACGAAACTAGTGAAGGGCCTAGAAGACAAATCATACGAAGAGCGGCTGAAGGAGCTGGGGCTGTTCAGTATGAGGAAGAGGAGGCTGAGGGGAGACCTCATCACTCTCTACAACTACTTGAAAGGACACTGTAGAGAGGTTGGTGCTGGTCTCTTAACAATAGAACGAGAGGGAACGGCTTCAAGCTCCAACAGGGGAGGTTTAGATTGAACATTAGGAAGGAATTCTTCACAGAGAGAGTGGTCGGGCATTGGAATAGGCTGCCCAGGGAGGTGGTTGAGTCACCATCCCTGGATGTGTTTAAGGGACGTTTAGATGGGGTACTGAGGGATATGGTGTAGGGGAGGACTTTGTAGAGTAGGGTAGATGGTTGGACTCGATGATCCCAAGGGTCTCTTCCAACCTCAATGATTCTATGATTCTATGATCACCTCTGGGTGATGCTTCATGATCTTTGTCCTTTCTTTCTGCTACCTCGGCAGTGGCTGCGGCAGAGCCCAAGTGCAGCAGGAGCCATCGGCAGAGACCACCGAGAGCACCGACATCAGCATCAACTGCTCTCACCCCAACATACAAACCGGGGAATTCATCCTCTGGTACCGTCAGCTCCCGGGCCGAGGACCCACATTCCTTGTGAGCAGTCTCAAAGACTCCAGGGAGCTACGGGACCCGCCGGGTTGGCTGCGGGTGGCGGACAGGCCTAGCAGCCCCGGGAGGTTCCCCCGACACGGTTCGGGGGCACCCCGTCGGGCAGACACATTCTCCCGCCCCTCACTCGGTAGAGACCCTCCTGCCCACGGACACACCTTGCTCCTGCCCCACAGACCGGCTGCTGCTGCTGCTCCACGGCCAGGGCTGAGGTTCTCTCCCACCTCACTTTCATCCCCATCTCACATGGAACAGAAACACCCAACTGATACAGGGCCAATACAAGTCCTGGCTGTGAATCCTCACCCCCAAGTGGTTTCTTGCTGGTAACTTTGTAAATTGGCTCGGATACACAATTACAACTGAATCCTCCAGCTCCACTCTCTGCTCCTGGGGAGCTCCTGCTGGTGTTGCAAAGGCATCCAGTAGAACTGGCAGTTCTGCCTCGGCAGGAAGGAGAACATGAGAAGAGGAAACTGATTGTCACAGACACCTTCAAGTGTATCCCATAGTGCCTGGTGATAGAGCTTCGGGCACAAGATTCCCCTCAACCTCAGACTGAGAGCCTTTGGTGTTGAAGGGAGACAGGAGAGAAGCTTGAGCTGGGCACTTGTTGAAAGACACCTCTGAGACTCAAGTTCAGACCTGAGGAGGGAGCCACAAAGAGATCTGCTAAGTTGCCCTATGGGGCTGAAGGATCATGGGGGGAGCTGGAAAGAGGCCTCCGGGCAGGGGCTCCTGGGCCCAGCCAGTCCCTAGAGAGTCATGTATGAGCTGAGACAGCAGTGACAGTCCATGTTCACAGGCTTCCGGGGCAGAGAGGAAAGGCTCAGCCTCTTCCCTGCCTCAGCTGGGGCCTGCTGTGGCACCATAAGTGTATTCCAAGAGAACTCCTGCCAGGTTTGCAGCCACTGGAGAGCAGAGGGCAGCCCACCGTCCTTCAGCCATGGCCTTGACTGAACAACAGGACCCTGAAGGCCTTGTAGGAGTGCAGTTGAGAATGGGGGCTGCTGTGCCAATATCCTGCCTCCTGCAGTCCCTGCCAACTGTGTGAGAAATGCCTTCTGTGAGAAGGGGCAGAGGAGCCCTGTTCCACACAGCAACCACCAGAAGAAAATCAAGTAGCCCTTTTGCTTGCCGGATACTGAGCTTCTAGACCCCAGGGTGGGACAAGCAGCTGGAGGCTGTGGGTAATGTGGGGAGGGGAAGAGACAGAGTAACTGCCTGTACAACAGAGGGCTGTGTTGCTGTGTCCTCCTCCTACTAAAGTGAGGGAGTGTGTCTCTCCCTGTGTGGCCGGTTTCTGCAGCAGATGCTCTTCACAGAGATGTTTCTCTTCAGGTTCCTCCTCTATGGCCAGAGGAGAAGGGAGAGAGTGTGTGACTCCTGCGTCCAGGCACTTCACACTGTGTGCCTGGTCCTCTCTCCATCCAGACAGTCCCAGGGACAGGGTGGACATGGGTGGGTGCAGGGGTGCCTTCTCCATCTCCTGCAGAGCTGCGTGCAGGCCTGTGCAGCTGGCTAGGTGTTCAGGGTCGGGACAATTTCTCAAGGCATGCCTGTCTCTTTGATGGACAGTACTTAAACCATGAGTCTGTTCTCTCTCTTGAGGACCTTCTTGTGGTAGACGTTGGGGGATGGACCCAAAGAGGCCTGCCTGGAGCAGCAGAGAGAGAGTTTTGCTCCACCCTCTGGGCTGTGCTTTCAAGGCCTCTTTGATCTGGCAGAGGCAGAAGAAGAGGTGAAGGTGCAAGCATCAGGTCCTTCATGCTGGCAGGTCCCTGGGCACTGAATGAAGGGAGAGCGTGACATGGTCCTGATTTTCCTGGCAGCCCTGGTGGAACTGGCAGACTTTGGTGAGATGTGACTTTCAGGCTGGGGAAAATGAGGCAAGGGTTTCTGCAGATGGTGGCTGAAGGGAGGACACGCGAGTTCTGCTCCTTGGGGCATCTGGGAGTGTTTCTGTAGGGAGATCAGAGGCTACAGATGGGCACGGTAAATAATGTGGGATCTGTCAGGACTAATGGGCATAGGAGGAGGAAGAAGACCTCACCCTAAATCTGCAGCTACTGAACATTCTAGAGGGTTCTGTTAATACACAATAAGCCTGAAAAATAAGGGAGCGATGCAGCTTCTGTGCTGGTCTTTTGCATCCAGTGCTACCAGTCTCTGTAGAGATGGTTGTAAAGAAGGACCTGCAGAAAGAATGTGCAGGGAGAAACACCTCGGCATATCAGACACTGGGAAAAGTCAGAGGGAAAGATGGGATAGGGAGTAAGATGATGAAGTGACAGACAGACAGGTCCACAGGCACACAAAGCTGAAAGCCCTTTCTGGTTTGACAGGTCATGCCCAAAAGGACTCTGTGCTCCAGTTCCCACCAGAAATGACCATCCAGGCAGGACACAACGCAACTCTGCACTGCAACTTCTCCACTAGTTATAACAATCCCTACATCTACTGGTACCAGCAGCACCAGGGCCAATCCCCTCAGATGCTGCTGTGGGTGTACAAAGGGAAACCTCGGGTGGATTCAGGGAGGTTCTCCTCTGCAATGTTTGTGGAGACCTCCCAGGTGCTTCTGCATGTGCAGGACACCGAGCTCCAGGACAGCGGAGCCTATTTCTGTGCACTCAGCCCACACTGGTGCCCACAGCTGGCAGCAGTGCACAGAAAGGTGGGGGTGCTCTGAGGAGCGGTTCCCTCCCTGCCACTGCTTGCATGGAGCTCTGAGCTCAGCCTGCCCAGCAGGGGCACCTGGGGCTGTGGTGAGGCTGGGCCTCTGCCTCCCCAGCCTTTGATGCTGTGAAGCACATGCCAGCATGACTGTTATAGCTGCCTCTAGACCAAGGGTCTTTGATGATGAAAAGAGTCCCAGAAACCTGACTTGGGGCATCCCCATTGGAGGCTACACCATACAGAAGCCAGACCAGGCTTGTAAATGCCCTCTGCTTAAAATAGCTGGTACCCCAGAGTGAAAACCCAGGACAAGTAAACCATCACCTTGTCTTCTTCTTCCATTTGACCTCCACTGATGACCACAGTTGTCTACATGGTCCAGGACCTCAAAACTGCGTTGGATTTGTGAGACACATTTTCTGCAAGCCCTGTGTCCAAGGCTTCAATACGGTTGAGGGGAGACTGATCTGTGCTTGGTGTCAGGGGGAGATTCAGCTGAGGAGAGTAAAGTGCCTAGCTGCAGCTCCTTCACCCACACAAAACCTTTCTCCGTGACAGGTGAGGAAAGAATCAGTCACTGGCCAGTCCCATCAGCTTTAGTTGAGCTCAAGGGTTTGGCAGTGGTTCAGTCAGCTGCTGTCTGACTCTGAGACAGAGAGAAACCACAGTGAAGCCAAAGCTGGCATGGCCTTCCCAGACACAGAGCCTCTCCATGTCTAAGGTCTGTCTGTGAAGGATAATAAAGATACTAGCGAAAATCCCTATTGCTGCAGCCCCCCAAAGATTTTCCAAATTAGAAGGAAAAGAAAATCCTGCAACCCTGGAAACTCCCACCTGACTCCCACCCGGTTCTGGGGCCAATTCTCTTTAACATCTTTATCAATTATCTGGACGAGGGGATCGAGTGCACCCTCAGTAAGTTCGCAGACGACACCAAGCTGGGTGGCAGTGTTGATCTGCTGGAGGGTAGAGAGGCTCTGCAGAGAGATCTCCACAGGCTGGATCGATGGGCTGAGACCAGCGGGGTGAGGTTCAACAAGGCCAAGTGCCAAGTCCTGCACTTTGGTCACAACAACCCCAGGCAGCGCTACAGGCTGGGGGCAGAGTGGCTGGAGAGCTGCCTGGCAGAAAAGGACCTGGGGGTGTTGGTCGACTGTCGGCTGAACATGAGCCAGCAGTGTGCCCAGGTGGCCAAGAAGGCCAACAGCATCCTGGCCTGTATCAGGAACAGCGTGGTGAGTAGGACCCGAGAGGTGATCGTCCCCCTGTACTGGGCACTGGTGAGGGTGGTGGGTGGTGGGGGTTTTTTTTGGTTTTTTTTGGTTTTTTTGTTTGTTTGTTTTTGGTTGGACTCGATGATCTCTGAGGTCCCTTCCAACCGCTACGATTCTGTGATTCTGTGATTCTGTGATGTCCTCAAGGGTCTGGAACCAGCCCCTGCCCTTGGAAAGGGAGCGGTGCCACAGTGACACACTCATGTGGCAGCAGAAGAGTTTGTGTCTGGGACAAGCCAGCCTCCCTTCAGGCTACAGACACTGAGGCTGGGACATCAGAAGGGATGGAGGAGTGAACCTGTTCCTAGACTTACTTGAAGTCTAGAGTCACTCTCTGTGTCTCTAGTCTTACTCTGTCTTCAAAGACAGAGAAATGCTGACAACATTAATTTACAGAGCAGCTGAACACATGGTTTGGCTGCCCTGGAAACGCTCATGCCTTCTTTTGACATTTTCCCCAGTTTTAAGGGACGTGGTGGCCTTTTTTCCTCTGGTGTTTTCCAGGCAGGTGCAGGTGGTGTCACTGCCTGGAGCAAGAGGGAGCTGCCTGCAGCCTCCTCTGTCACCATGAGCTGGCTGAGTTTCTCTTGCAGCCAAGGTTCCCAATGGAAAACATTTCTTGCACATAATAATACAAGAGTGAGAGCCAAATCAATCCAATGTTTTGCACCAGGAGCCACTGGTTTGTTTTGAGTCCCATAAGAAAGGCACTTTGCAGCCCCACGCTCACCCCCAGCCACCCCACAGTAGCTCTGGCCACAGTGAGAGGAACAACCTTCCTCAGGAGCTCCTGGGGCTTCCACCGCCTCAGGGCCTCCTGCCTTCCTTGACATTTGTGGGCCCCTCAGCTCCATGAGATGGTCCTCAAAAGAGGAACCACTGGAAGCCTGTCCCATCCTCAAACCCCTCCCCTAATGGAGAAGGGTCTCCTTAATCCCTTCCATCCCAGAGCAACACCTTTCTC